AGTTAGAGACAGTTCAAAGAGCAATAAAACAATAAAATTTAATTATAAATAGATGTACACTGTTACAAACTTAGAGCTACTTGAGATTTTTGAGATGAGGAAAAGTATTTTTATTTTAACATGAAAATTACTTTGCACACAGACTATTCAAAACAAATATTTAATATATACATGGACAAATCTTTATTTTATCTTATTAAAAATACTTCACTGAAAAATATGATTTTTTTGTATGTAAAAGACTTATAACATTAACTGCAAATTTTGTGAAGATATTCACACTATATTGAAAGTTAGAAGTATTAAATCTGTAAATACTTTAAATGAGTACAAATATGTCACATGGTCAATCAAATTGACCGAGCCCATATTGAGAGAGTTAAAGACCTTTTTCCTCCTTTTGGTGTATGGTCATCAATGTTCTGATTTGATTAGTTCTCAATGTCTCTTGCACATTACATCACAAGACCTGTGTCATTCTCAACCTGGGTTGGTCTTTTCTGTCCACAACACTGACTGCATGTGAGGGCAATTTTGCCTTTATCCCCCCCCCCCCAATAATTTACCTTTATCATCGTTCTGATCAGGATAATCTTTTATGTCTTGTTTAGGTTCTACACTGTTAAGTGGTTCGCACTGCTCCCTTCTGTGGTTTGCGGTCCCATTTTTTCATTCACAGGAACCCTTCCCATTCCTGTGATATTTCTCTAATTATATTAATGGGTTTGATTCGCCTGGCTTATTCTTCCTTGTGTCCTGATTATTACCGACCTTTATAAGTCTACTTCCATCAAATCAGTCACCATCTCTGTCTGCCCATTTCCATCACCCATTAGATGATACAATTCGTGCTGGCATGTGGAACACTCCCCATACACTTATTTTACATTATCTTCATCGTCTGATCGTTTCCTGTTCTATGGATTACTGTCTACTTCCTGTTGCCATCTTTAGCTCCATAGTTTCTCTATGAGTGGGTAGGTGTTCTTTTTCTACTTCTTTACAGGAGCTTTTCTCACATGTATGGATTCTGCTCACTGGCAAGTGTTGCCTAAGTAAGTATACTTATTCTTAAATCTGCATTGTACGACTATTCAGGTCAATAATGCCCACCATTGAGATGGAGTTTTCCACAAGACTGCTTGTAGGCTTTTTACCTCATGGTATATTGTCTGAAATATGTTTGCTCCAGACTGTATACTCTTGGACTAACGTGAATAAAACAGAAGAGGATTGCTGCCCATTCCTGCCGCTCTTTTGTTTGACTGAATATGGAATGGTATACTTTTCAAAATAGGGTTTAATGGTCACCCATTGTACTGTCTTCAGTTCTTTGATCCTCTGGGCTCTCCAACAAGTTTACCTCCTCCTTGTTTGAGTGGAGTACAGGAGTCCTTACCACTTACCAATTCCTAGCTGCTAGGGTGGTGGATCATGGTGGCTTTGTCCTGAGTGTGCTCAGTTCCACTTGGTTGAGAGTAGGGTTGTGGTGGTCTGCATGTCTAGATGGTATATAGACACTCCTCCTACCATGGACCTGATGTACTATTCCAGTTGCCACCTGCAGTCACCCCTCCAGCTGGGCAATAAATATCAGTTCCCAGGGGGTATTGGTGGTATTGTGTTGGGCATGCACACGTGATGATGAGGGTCCTTGGAACAAAAGATCTTCCTCCCTTTCAGCTCCCGTGTTCTAGGTAAATGGTAGAGGACCCTCTTTCTACCATGGTTGGAGATTCCTATCACAGTTCTGGTGGTTTTGATTGAGGTTGAACTACCCATTACAGTCTGTCATGTCCTAGCAATTTTACACTAGGGGTCCCTTCATTTAATTTCTGGGTTAACTCCTATGATTCTGTCCTTATTCTAACCAATCATTTTCATGCGCAAGAAGATTACCTGACTCAGAAGTGATGCTGTCTCCCATGGGTTTGTATTACATACTCTTTCTTCACAAACTCCTGTGGGTTTTCTTTGCACTTTTGGAAGGGGGCTCATCTAGGTACTGTTACACTGGTCCCTCCATTAGGTCAATGGGGGATTCTAGCTATTCTGTAAGAGGAGGTAAGATATTGTATTGGAAGTTAACATTTTCCTACACTGAAAATGTATTACCTCTTACCTCTTCTCACACTTCCCACCCTTCCTTCCCACCTCCAGTGTGTTTTCCTTTTCTGTTGCTCAATCTTGAAGTGAAATTGGGCTAAGCTACAGAGAGGGAGTCAGCTGTGTTAGGAATTGTGTTTCACTCCAATTTATGGTGGGTTGTCACTTGCTCGTTTTCATGCTATCACACATCTGCCTCATGTGAGGATAGGTGGGAGTATCAAGGCTAGTGGAAAGCAAAAATGTACACATATTGAGAGCAGTACAAATCAGGAGAACCTATTTTGTGAATGGAGGTAAGATTCTATAAAAAATACATTGTCAGTGTTGGAAAATGTTAACTTTGAGGTAATAATGATGTGTTACCATATTTGAAAATAATGTTTTATAACTAAAATAAAATTCAGAAAGAGAAATTCTGAGACAATAACTCACCTCCACACACAGAAATGCTATTTTCCTCATGTGTCAACCTGTGCATTTTGTATGCAATTAACTTTTAGGTAACTCCCACCTAAATTCATGTGTTTAATGTGAATTGCACTGGTGCATGATGATGTCATCATGCACCAAAAGCCCTCCATCAGAAGGAGGGTGACACAACCTCCATGCACTGTATCTCCCTCTATACACTTGCAGTTTTGATAACTTCACTCTTCTTCTTCAGCATTGTATAGCACAGGCATGCTCAAATTGATGATATTTGCATTTGTTAAGGAAACTTTGATTTTCATTTTCCTTAGCTTTTGTTTCAAGAGTTTTGATTTTTCTTTATGACTTTTCAATTGACTTACACTTAGTCTCATATGTGGTGAAATTACATACAGTTCTTATTTCTACTGTGGCTTCTGAAGGCTCATTGTCTGTTGTGATTTGTAGCCTTTGTTTAACATTTTGTGGATTACCACATGCTTAATGGGCCTCCTACTCCAATCCCATCTGCTAACATTCTTTCTCCTAGGTAGGGAATGGCTTATTGGACTATGAATTTCACCTGTTTTGCATTTAGGAGGGCCTTACCATTCTAGGAATGACCTTCAGTTTCTAATCTCTTCTATATTTCATTTTCAGGTGTGTTCCTTTCCTTATTCTTTGCCTGTATCCTTTAATATTTCCTGTTCTTCAGTGTGTGAACCCTGTTCTAGGAGTTTAGTTTGTCTTTCCTCTTTGCATATTGTTAGTGTTTATACTGCTTCCTTTTTACAACAGCTCCTCTTTCACACTGAAATTCATCATCCCCCTTGCATTCATAACTCTTTTTGCTCTGACTTGCAGATATTATTTGTTTCCTTTCTAGAGTCCCTTTCTTTGGTATCTATTTGGCTTGCTTGGGGTTCAGGCTTCTTGTTTTCTATTTCTTTCTCTTGTTTCCATATTCATGTCTTTATCTGTTTCTTACCACTCTCCTATATTCCCTCTACAGATTCCATTTTTTATATGAAACACTTCATTGTGCCCCAGAAGGTTTTCTGTATAAGTTCATTGCCTTCTTTTTGTTAACTTGGCCTTTTCCACTTCTTCTTCTCTGTCACTTCTTACCTTGTTCCCCTGCTGTTGGAAGTCATTGGATCGAGTTGCATTCATCTTTACAGTACACCTTCCTCCTTGTGTATGTGGTCTTCATCTGGCCCCATTTCTTTGCCAGAACATCTTTGGAGGAGTTTATTTCTCTTTGGAGACCTGCACTGAAGTTGTTTATTTTAAGTCATCATTATCTTTCCAGGTTTTTCTTCTTTCTTGCCCTTTGACTTCTGTTCCTGCTGGTTATAAGGTGGGGTTGTCCATTACATTTTGCCTTTTCCAGTACCACAGGGTGTTTTCTTCCCCTGTCCTATCCACTCTCTTCCATTCATTTCTTCTTCACCATCCTTTTTCCCTGACTCCTGTGCCTGTCTGGGTTCTTATTACGGTTTTGCATGCTCTCACACATGCCCCATTTGAGCCATGGGCTTCATGATCTTTTTGCCATCTTTCTCTCATGTCTTATTTCCTACCTTTTCTCACACGTGGTCGCTTTTTGTCAGTTTTATATAGTAGGTATCTGTGACTTTTTGACAATAAATTCCAACAAAACTCCTGTTAGTGGCACAAATTCACGTGCTTTAACATGAGATTAGGTGGGAGTTTTCATAAGGCTGATGGCTTACAAATCTTCTTGGCAGATTGTGTTAACTCAAGAGGAAAGAAGTTATTCTGTGTGTGGAGGTATCTATTGGAAATACATTTTAAGATAAGGAAAATGTTAATATTTCTCATCAAACATGTTATTTCTAAAAATTTTTGTTTATTGCTGTGATTTATACCTCAGAGAAACAGGTTGACTTTTTTAGTAAAATTAAAAAAATATATAATGTGGTCCATATAATGAAGACTGATAGTTTAGTCACAACAGAATTGGTATCAAATTAATTGCAAAAACTATAAACCCATTGATAAATCAGAAAACTGAAATAAAATATAAATAAATCACTTTACACTAGAACTAGAAATTCAACATGTAACATAGATTTAAGATTACATGTAGATCTCAATAACATTTGGATTTTCAAAAAGCCTAAAGAGTTCTGTCATAGAACCATGTTCAGCAGCCAATTAGATGACCTTAACAGTCAAGTCAATCCTCTCCACAAACATAAATACCAACAAAAAACAAACACCTGAATTGATGAAGGCAAGCTTAAAAGTGCCAAAACATTATCCAAATCTCAAACTTTCCAGGCAATTTGTTGATAAACAAACAACATAAATACATGCATCATTGGTCAACATCTACAAATGAAACCCTTTTAAGAACATGGTAATGTACATATTTTTAATATTCTATTTTGATTTGTTTATTTAATCAAATTTGTGAGATTATTTTGAAATCAACATGTTTTCATTTTATACTTTAGATAAAAAATGTTGTTCAGGAAAAGAAACAGAGAGGATCATCTTTGTACACCTTCGAACAGCAACACAAATTATCTAAACAATCTGATGAAGCAGTTAGAAGAAGAAGCAATGAAATAGAAGATTCTCTTAATTTAACACAACAAGAAATTATGAAAGGTACTTACTGTTTCATTGCATATTAAAATAGTATTGAAACAACTCTTAATGTTCAATATTTTTGCTTTTAACATGTTTCATGTAATTTGAATAGTTCTAAGTGGATGTTTACAAAACATGAATGAAGGTTTCTTATTTTGAATAACTTCATGGAGTTATATGTAATTGTTATACAAAATGTTTAGGTTTGAAGGTTAAAAATCATAGGAAATCTACAGTTAACATGAACTTATTGCCATATATTGTGAGCATCCCAAATCATACACATCACGTGAAGTAACTTTTTGGTCATTAGTTGAAGTCAGTTTTCAGCAGAGGACACCACATTTTCTCAAAAATGTCCTGTTTTTCTCATTAATTCTTCATGTCACTGTGGCCATAAATGACAATACAATTTAGCTTCCTCAAATAATGTTGCAGTCAGGAGTATTATAGTACATATCTTGGGATTATAGCTGAAAATATCAGTAACGGATGGAAAACCTATCGAGATTGTGTGGTGACCAGAGATATTTCCCTGTGGTTTACTGCTCACCAAGGAGACCAATGGGAGTGGCAAAACAATGTGTATTGAATGTATCAAATCAATAGAAAAGATAATAAAAACAGTAACTGTGTTTTTCACTGTCTTATATGTGTATGCAGCAACATTCTAAAATATAGTTGGAGGGGGAGACACGAATGAATTCTTCTCTGGGGTCCATGGCATCTCTTGGTAGCTCTGAGTGAGGGTACCCAACAAATAAGGGTGTGAAATTAATTTTTTTAAAGTGCCATCCTGGCATACCATCAAAACTTGTAGGAGCCAGAAGAGATTTTTATGTGAAAAAACATTCATCCCCAAAAAGGTGTAAGTGTACATTTATTGCTTTAGTTGTTCTTCCTTTTCTGTTATAATTATGAGCATTCACACCCAACACCCAACACTATATTCTGTTTTAGGTTTTTGATTGTGTTTGGATGCTTTCAAACATTAGGCATATACCATCAAATGGTTAAAACCAAGAGCTTAGTAGGCTAACATAGACGTAGATAAATCTAGATTGGACTCTAAGCAGTCATGCAGAAAAATTTCTTGTTGTAACACTTTTTATTGTTGTGCAGGCTCTTTTGGATTATTTGGTAAATAAAAGAATGCAAAATTAAGTACACTTGATGTTAACAAAAGCATTTTATTTCTTAAACTTTAAAGTTCTACAAGTAAGCTTTAACCTAATTTTGACTGACAGATATACATTCAAGTTAGGTGCTCATACAACAATTTTACTTATTTGTATATTTGTCAATTTTTCATACTTCTATTTCTTCATTGAAAAATACATTATTCAAAAACAGAACTAACTGAATTCACTGACAGTGACAGATAAACTGACTAAAAAATTTGTTAATTCAGTAATCAGTTAATCCACTGTAACAGATTCATAAATATCTATCTACTTTATTTTAAGTAGTATCTTATATTCTCATTTCCTGAAATTTCAAGAAAGTTGCAATCATTAAGCACATGCTCACCACAGGATGTTAAGCCTACAACTGGTTAAACAACAACACAAACATTTAAATTGCAAAAGTAAAGTGTACACCAATGTCAAATAGAGGCCAAATATGGATGCATTATGATTTATTTTGGATATAGGCCTAAATCTAATGCTTGGATTTTATAAATCTATAAAATTATAACACTAATGGGAAGCCGTGTGTCCATAG